CCTCGTTTAAGGTCATTCACATGTCCAAAGCCGCACATCTGTTCTTCCATGTTGGCTGCCATTAGGAAACTAACGATGCTGCCTATTAACTCCATGTTCCAAATAAACTAACAGTACACGATTTACCAAGCAAGTATTCAACAAGCTCTGTTCTCAACAAGTGAGAGCTTAAGAAATCAGAATTTTACTTATGACAGGCCACAGAACACCAGCTCTTATCCACAGACCTTTATAGTTTCCCTTACCCCAGTTTTCCAAACGGTATTTCATTGTGGTATTAAGATCACTGCAACTTCGGAAGCACTGTATGAGTTCTTTGGGGCAGTTACCGGCTTCGATACCAATTGGTTTCGACTGCATTCCTGATTAGTGCATTAATAGCAATAACAGAAAGCCTTACCCTGCTGGGTCGTAGGTTCAATCGGCTGAGAGGCTGCCTGCAAGACTGGCTCAGAAGCAGAGGAGTCTCCCAGCACAGAGTTTAGAGAGTTCTCAACAGAGGCAGGGGTAGCTGCAGAGGGAGAAGGGAGAACACTAGGCTTGGATGAGGGAGTCGAGGCATTTGGGGAGTTGGGAGAAGGAGAAGCTTGAGGTCCAGAGAGTGACAGAGGTGGAAAGGAAGGCAGTGGGGGGGGAGGAGGTGGCGGAGGCGGAGTTGGACCTGAGGTAGAAGGTGAAGGAACCGGATAAGCCAGGTTTTCAGGAAGCCCGTTAGGAGCTGTGGGAGACGTGGACATTTGGGTCACTGGATTAGAAGCCGACACTGGGAGGACAGGTCTTGGACCAGTAGCTTTGCCTGGCGGACTGCTTATCATTACTGGAGGAGATGGGGGAAGAGGGGCAAAACTGGGTGCAGACCAGGCAACAGGCTTTGTATTTGGAGGCAAAGTCGCTGGGGCATTGACAGGAGAAGGGGGCCGAGAACTTTTGTTCAGCGGACGAGGAACTGTAGCATAATGGGGGAGAACAGGGTGGAAAGCTGAGCCTAAAGATGTAGCAAAACGTGATGCAGAGTGCCTTAGAGGCGGTGTAGGGGGAGTGGAAGTCGGTGGTGCAGAAGTCACTACAGCGTACTCCGGTGTGGCCTCTGACATTGGTGCTGAGACTGCTTTTGCATATGATGGAGGAGGTGCTGAAGGAGGCTGGCAACTGGAGTATTCAGGAAGTGGAGTGCTATACGGGGAGTTGTCGAAAGATGGAGCTGGACAGAAGATGGAAAGCAGCAGCAAAGGCAGGATAAAAAAAGGAGAAAGAGAAAAAGGGAGCTAATGAAGCAACAAAACCAGCATTCAAACAAAATGTATAAATGCAGACTACAGTTAGTACCAGAGGATTAGGCACAAGTGAAAATACTGTTAGGAAAGTTTTACATATTATCAGCAGCTGCTTTTAAATTTTACCAACTATTTTTGTGCCAACATTTGAATTCACAAATACGTTCCAAAGCAAGTTTTCTCAAATCCTATCTGTGAGATGAATTAGATACAGGGTTGATTAATCAGCCTTTTGTCAGCTTTTATCTTCTTGTTTGGTTGCAAACTGTAAGCAAGTGTAGTGATCTTAACGTTTTTTACAACTCCACTAACAAAACTCATACCATAGGCAGCAAGTAGCTATCACCTTTCTCTTCCCCAGAAAAAGCTCCATCGCAAACTTGAAAGTACTGGGAATAAAACTACCAATAAAATCCTTTGCTCTAAAGTGACTAGCTCTCACATAGTATACCTCAAATTTTACCATGAGCTGACTTCTTATGTAGATTGAGTTTGTTACTAAAGAACAACCAAGTGCTTGACTAATGTTCCATTATATTACCAAAATGAGAAAGCTTTCAGCTATCATTGGATACATTTCCGCAGGCAGTGCATTAACTTATCTACAAATACATATAATACATTTCACTGAAATGTTACTACAATGATAAATTAAGCAAGACTTCATGCTGAAAGGCACCATTACTCGCACTATTACTTTGCCTTATGTAGATACATACCTTCTACATAAACATACTCAGCCTGATGTATTTGGGTTGGGTTTTTTTTCCAAATTACATAATGAGAATACATCTTGTTGAAGAGAGCAAACAACCATAAGGTATTTAGAAATTTTAACTCATCATACTTTAACCAATGTTGGAAGTGCCCAATATGATTCAAGTTTTTCAAGCAAAGTACGGCAATGGAGCGAGCAAATAATGAAAAAAAAAAATTATTTCAGAGTTAATGGAAAATTATGACAGAAAAGTCAAAGATCTTGGACTTCTTGCCATAAAAAGGAAGCAATTCCAGCAAATAGAAGCCTGAAATACTGACTGCTGTTGCACAGCTGTACTCACTGCCCTTTGTTGCTTCTCTCCCGCTCCGTCACCCAAACACATAAAGAATAGTCTGGTACTTGAATGCACTCGGGTTTTAAATTCTTACCAGCATTGGATATTCTTCTCTCTCTTTCCCATTCCAATTGTTCCCTTTCCAACTGTTCTTGCCGTTCTCTTTCTTGCCTTTCCCGTTCAAGTCGTTCAAGTCTCTCTCGATCCTGCCTCTCCTTCTCTTGTCTCTCCCTTTCTAGGCGCTCTTGCCGTTCCCTTTCTTGCCGTTCTCTCTCCAGTTGCTCCTGTTCTAGGCGCTCTCTTTCAAGTCTTTCCCTTTCTAGCCTCTCTCTCTCCAGCCTCTCCCGTTCCATTCGTTCACGATCCAGCCTCTCCCGTTCCAGCTCCTTCTGCCTCTGTTGCTCTTGCAACTGTCTACAATCATGAAAAAAGGAAAAAGACTAAGCGGCAAAGTGAAAACCAAAAATATCAAGCAACTGTTAGAGGACAAGGTAGAGATAAACTAATCAACAATCTTTGCAGCAGCGAGAAGAAAAGCACAGCATTTGTACCAACATACAATTCTTAATTCTACATGTTATTTTTCTGAGCTGGATAGTAGTTGTATTATGCTTACAGTAAAAAAAAATCATATATCCAATTTCCTCTTAATTTAACATTCAGAGAGACAGCTTTCAAGACGTAAGAATAGAAAGCTGTTGCTGATAGTTTACTAACTGATGCAATCTTCCCAGTTTAAGATACGGAGTTACATTTGTTCTTTGCACATTATTTTATACTCAAAGCAGTGAATAAAAGTACTATGAAATAGCAGTTACAAATACTCATGAAAAAACCCACTCCGAAAGAAATTACATTTTTCAAATAAACTAGTCAGGTAGTACTTATCCAAATTTTACAGAAGTATCAAAATGTATACATGTCCCTCTCAACCTGCATACTACTACACGCACATACAACTTAACCGGCATCAAGACGAGAACACTCTGAAGGCAGGGGAAAACTGGACACAGTGAGAAAACAATCCAGGGTGCAGCAGCCAGGGAAATGCTGCAGGGAGCTGGCAGGACTTCCAGCTCATGGGAGTCTTTGCAAAGGAAAGCAGAGAGGGGGAAGATGTGGAGAGGAGGAAAACAAGTAAAAACAAGACAGAGGAAATAAAACTTCCTAAGGGTAGGAATCATGCAAAACTTGCTGCCAAAGCCACTAGGCTGGCTGAAAGAAAGGACGTTCTTGCAAAAATATAGTAGGAAAGGCTGCAAACAACCCTTTTGCTTTTTTCCTCCCTCATCTTGCTTTATATTTTCTTTAGTGGTTGTTGTTGGGGTTTTTTTAATTATATTTAAAAAAGCTAAATGTTTCTAGTTGGCTAAAATACACCTTTTTGATTTTTCAAAGCTTTTTCATTTCTTGGGAGAGCTCACTACTAAAACAGAAATTAGGCACATCCTCCTCGAGGCTGTGGCCAGTATGTTTCTGTCAGTACTTATCACTGAAAATGTTGTTAGTTATCGTCCTCTATTTGAATTCTTGTTTTAAAAAAAATTATGACATTTAAAAATTAAAACTTGTATGTAAAGCACGCAGCCATTTTTTTTTTCCTGCCATGCTTCAGATACAAACTGAAGATAGCTTCTCAACAAATACAAAGCACAGGCAGCTTTTAACTATAAAGCAAAAAAAAGAGACCTAAATTTTGACACCACAAGCTACCAGATAATGTGTTTTCCATAGACTGCCACTGGGCAATCTTATTTGGAAAGGTCACGAGTAATTCTATACTATATGCTTAGAGCCATGTAAAATTGAAGCCTGAAAATGAAGGAAACTTGAGCTATTTCATTCCTATTCATGCTCAGAAAACACTGGCAGAACTGGAAACCCCAGCTCATACACCATTACTACTGAAGGTCATCCTCTTTCAGAACAATGTTTTTCCTTTAAAATGCAAAAAACACCCTGTAAAATACTGAAATTTCATAATTGCTATAAGCAATTAAGTTCCAGTTATGTACAGCAAAAGGACTTTTCTCTACTGAACTTGTTACTCAAGATCCTCCGAAGCTGCAAAATAGTTCTGTTCCTGTATCAGTTCTTCCATCAGCTCCTACCCTCCCATATAACAAAGTTGTAATAGGAATCATTAAGAAATTAGGGCCGCAGCTCAGCTTGCTAAATGCTTGAGTTTTAGGTCTGAAGTCCCCCAAAAATTCTGTTAATTGACTGATACATATTTGGAACCAGTAGAGGATTTCCACAAAATATCAAGAGAATACAATATAAACCACAGAAATTTAAGCTCTAAAGGGGATATTAAAAATATTTTTGGCATTACATTTTTGCTTGCTCTGTATTGTACAAAACTAGTTTTATTATGTGCTCTTTTCCCCTGAGATAAAAATCTATTATTAGAGGAAAATAGGTTTTTCATCATGGATAACTTCAGCTTGATCATCTTAGGCTCTTTTTTTGTAAAGGAGAGGTGGATGCACAGATGTCTGTACCTAAAAGGCTACTGAGAGCAGGAGTCAACATTTACAGACACCAAAGCACCTTTTGTTTTGTTCTTTTTCATTCATTTGCCAGAAACTAGTATAATCTACCTAGAAACGTACAAACTTAACCCTAAAACTAAAATGTAGATAAGGCATTTGAGGTTATAAACATTTTATGTTATATTTAGTTTATGAAACTAGAAGGTATCAATTCACTGCGTTTAATAACAAATCAAGCAGCTGCCAGATATTTAAATTTTCTTTAGGTTCTTCAATTCTTTACAGAAACAGAACATCAATATAGGTCACTTCTCACATAAGAGCAGTGTCACCGAGGCAGTTCTGCAATAAGCCATAGCTAGAGCTGTGCCATTTCGTATTTTCATAAGCAACGTGGAAAAGAAAAACAGTGAGGTGCTCTTGACTAAGCTCCTTAATATTAAGTTAGTTAGGACAGCAAGGATGATGACCAATCATAAAGAATTACTGATGGATCTTCTAATTCTGAGTAACTGGGCAATAAAATTGGCAAATAAAACTGAACTGAGATAGAACTGAAGTGATGCAGGAGAGAGAGGGGAAATCTGCTAAATTCGTATATAAAATGCTGGACTACAAGTTGACTACAGACTCAGGAGTGAGATATTAGGGTAACAACAGACAGTTCCATGACAATATCCCTTCACTGATCTGTTCTGTTCAAAAACATAAACCAGATGCTACACATTAGGAAAGGATTACAGAGCAGCATAGAAAATACCACCATCCTGCTTCATAAACCCTGCATCTCCATTCCCATCTCAAAAGGGGGAAAACAGCAGAACTGAAAAGGTTCAAAAGGTACCACTGTCCATTCAAAAAATAACTAAAGAAGCTGCAATTCTGCATTCTGGAAAAGACAACTGGAGGTCTATAAAATCCTGAGTAATGAATACATCCTGATACAACAGCTGGGAGGAAAGAATCAATGCAACTAATAATAGCAAAGCTCAATAAAATAAAATAAAGAGTGAGTACCTCTGCACATCAGGCAGATGCGCTGTGGAACTCCTTGCCAGAGTGATTCAAAGAAAGAATAGGAAAAAGCCCATAGAAGAAAAAAAACAAACATGGAAAGTCATTTATAAAAACAGAAATTGCATCATGCACAAGAAGCTGCTGAACAGAGGATTGGAGAGTAGCAGGGGGAAGTATTCCAGGTATTTGCCCTGGCCAAGAAGGGTGAGGACATTTGTTAGTTTTTACTTAAAGCTTTTCTAACTATTGTGAGGGATATATCCACATGTATGTATGTATATACTACATACAAGGAGGGAGACACAGACGATGAGACTGTATATCAACATATACTATGTCTCTATAGAGCATGTAATTACATGCAATTTTAGTTAAAGCATGAGATGTATGTCTGAGTCAAACTGTTTGTTTGGGGTTGACTAGTTCTCCTAATACGTGTGAACACATTCCTGAGGCTTCCCTGGGGTTGTTCTCCTCTTCAGAGAGCTATAAAGACACACGACACCCATGTGTGGTAACAAAATGAACCTAAGCATTTATATGCTTTAATCTTTATCTGAAGCAAAAACTATTTCAGTCAGCAATCAACACTATCAAACTGCAGTGGCTGTCTACTAAGACATAGATAAACAGCAGTGAGATAACCACTTTCACCTACACAGGACCTAAATGAAAAAGTTCTCATAATTAAATAAATATTGAGTGATTCAGTATTTTATGCTTTGTTTTCGCAAAAGAATCCTCATTTCCCGTTTCTTCAGAAAATAAAGGAATAAACTCAGAAATTTTTAAAGGTACAAATAAAAACTATGAACAAGTTGAGCACTATGCTTACGATACAAATGCTCTACCAAGAGAGGGCAGCAAAACACCTTGCAAAAATTTCCTATAGTGTAGAAAATTCCCATGCAGTAAGATATATGAGATGAAATACACCATCCTTAAGAATAGGAAGAAGGAAAACAAATAAACCAAAACAACAAAAAATCCCACACCACAACCCACTACATTTTACAGTAGTTTTAACTACTTTAATAAACCTTTCAGATAGAAAACCAAAATTAGCACAGGTCAAAAGATCAGGATGCAGTAATGCAATCAAATTGCTTCAACACAACTTAACGAGCAAGGATGAATTTCATAAACTAAGAATGAACTACAGCTTAACAAGTGTAACAGTTGTAGCTTAAATAGATTAAGAACCCATTTTGCTAATTAAAAAAAAGAGGATAAATTTGTTTGCATTAAAACCACTGGGTTTGTTTAGTTAGCATTAGATAATGTAATTTTATTTGAAAATTTTGTCAGAGATCAACATTGTATTATGCAAAAGCATTAGTGGATTAAGAAGAGTCACTACACATCAATTAAAGCACTTCTGAACTTGCAAGACTTTGGTCTTTTCTAAAGCATGGGAACATTCAAGAACATTGTGAAAGCAACACATGAAAATTCTTCAGCCTTAGAAAGCACAGCATCTAGCTACCAGGACAACTTCTGATAAACCTAAAGAGGTACTAAAAATGCCCCAGAAACCTATCTTTAGTGAAATGCTAATTGTGCTAAGGCAAAGTGATTCTAATTATTTTAATGGTGTGAATTACTAGAATCTAAGAGGTAATTTACATTGAATAGTTGAGACAGTGCTATAGAACTGATCGCACATTAGTTACATGCAACATAGGTACTGTTACATGTGGTTTTAGATTCAAAGAGTAGACTTCAGAATTTCAGAATAGCTGCTGGCTTTATCATGCATTCTACTCATGAAATTTTCTTTTTGGATTTTAATCAGTTCTACGCCAAAAGCATCTTAGGAAGCTTCACTTCAGGGTGTTAAGGGGGAGGGCAGGAATTGTTCGGCTGTTGTTGCTGGTTTTAATTTAACTTACTTTAATATTG